TAACACATTATGAACAGCCTGTGATATGCATATGACACCTTGCTTGCTGGAAATGGGGAAGACTAGAAGCACTTGCTGATGAAAATCAAGGATTACAGCATTCAGTATGGATCGCAACTCAGTGTGAAAAAAAAAGCAATCCTCTTAACTGGACCCCACATGATAAATGGAGAAAAGATTGAAGTTGTCAAGGATTTCGTCTTGCTTGGATCCACAATCAATGCTCATAGAAGCAACAATCAAAAGATCAACTCTGCTGCACGAATTGAAAAGCAAAGATGTCACTTTGTGGACAAGGGTGCACTTGACACAAGACGTGGTATTTTCCATGATCTCATTTGAATTGAATGTTGGACATTGAATAAGACAGAAGAAGGGTTGCATTTGAGTTGTGCTGGCAAAGAAGGTTGAAAGGACCACGGACTGCCAGAACAACCAACAGATCTGTCTTGGAAGAAGTGCAGTCAAAATGCTTCTTAGAAGCAAGGGTGGCGAATCGCACGTTCTCGTGAGAGACCAGTCCCTGGAAAGGGACAGCATGCGTGGTACAGTAGCAGGGCAATGATGGCTGCAACAGTGGGCTCACACACAGCAACCATTGTGAGGGTGGCACTGGTGGGCAGTGTTTTGTTTTTGTGCATAGGGTCACTATGTCGGAGCAGACTAACAGCACCTAACAATAATAGCAAATCTTTATGATTTTACTCTTTTATTTTGGTCATGCTTATTCATTTTCCTTTAGGTTACTCTATATAAGTTACTCATTTCTTTCTACATTTACAATAGTGTGTTCTACCTTGAAATCTTTTTGACTTCCTCTCCATTTGGAAGTTCTATAACTACACAACTCCTTCTATTCACTTTGTTAATTGTCATTATTACAAATTGGTATCTCTGTTTCCCTATTTTCAATCTTGTAGATTTGTTGACTTTGGATAAGCTCAGGGTTCTAGGACCATCATCTGTATCTGCTTCCCTGGATCTCTGTGCCTTTGTTGTAGAGGATCTCTACGGCAAAACTGCCCAGTTCACTGTCTTACCAAAAGTTTGCTCTGCACCACTTTAAACAGGTCTTTGGCAGCAGATTTGCCGAATGCAATGTATCTTTTGACTGCTGCTGCCATGAGAGTTTATTGTGGATCCAAGTAAAATGAGCCTGAGCCTTTGGCCATTCGATCTTTTCTCCATTTATCATGATGGCGTCTATTGGTCCAGTTATGAGGTGTTTTTTTTTTCTTTACACTGAAGTGTAATCCATACTAAATGTTGGTAATCTTTGGTCTTCGTTAGCAAATGCTTTAAGTCCTTATCACTTTCAGCCAGCAAGGTTAAGCCATCTGCATATTACAGGTTGTTCGTAAGCCTTTCTCCAGTCCTGCTGCTGCATCTTTTTCATATACTTCATGAAGTTCTTCATCTTCTCAGGTTATTTACTCAGCATACGGATTTATTGAGTTTGGTGAAAGGCTACTAGCCTGAATAATACCCTTCCTAATTTGAAACCATGTAGTATTCCCAGTTCTGTTTGAACAGCGACATCCTGGCCTCTGTACAGGTTCACATCCCACAACTAAGTTTTCTGGATTTCCAGTCTTTGCAATATTTCCCATAATTTGTTATTATCCACAAAGTCAAATACCTTTGCAGTGTGAAAAAATAAAATTAACACAAATGAACATCTTACTTTCAATTAAGATCCATCTGATGTCAGCAGTGATTCCACATTCCTTATTCCACATGCTGTCCTGAATCTAACATGGATTTCTGCCAACTTTCCAGCAGCGTACAGCCACAGTTGATTTAGAATTATCTTCAGCAAAATTTTCCTTCTGTGTGATATTAATGATATTGTTCGATGATTTTCACATTCCATGGGATCACCTTTGTTTGGAATGAGTGCAAATACGGATCTCCTCTAGTTGGTTCATTTTCCCAGCCACTGCACAGGAGAAAGAGGAGACTTTCTACGCCTGTGAAGAGCTAGTCTCAGAAACCCACAGGGTCGCTATAAGTCAGAACAGACTCAAAAGCAGTAAGTTGGGTTCCACCCCCACCCCACCCCCTAGTTGGCCAGGTAGCTGTCTTTCAAATGTCATGGAGTGGAGGAGTGAGTACCTCTGGTGTTGCATCAGTTGTACAACATTTCCATTGGTATTCTGTCAAACTCTGTTGACAAACTCTTAGAGCTGTGTTTTTTGCCAGTGCTTTCAGTGTGACTTGAACTTCCCTTGTTGCCATCAGTTCTCAATCATGGGTTACTTCTTGAAATGGTTGAATGTTAGGCAGTTCATTTTGGCACATTAACTGTGCCATGTTTTTCCTTCCATGATTTTCTTGTGCTTCCAGAATCATTCAAAATTTTACCCAGAGGATTGACAGTGGGGGCACTTTTAAAAAATCTTTCAGCTTGAGAAATGCTGAACACGTTCTTTCCTTTGGGTTTTCTACTTCCAGATCTTTGTGCATTTCTTTATAACATTTTACTCTTTCTTCTCAAGCTTCACTCTGAAATGTTCTGTTTACTTCTTTGACTTCGTCAGTTCCTTCATTTGCTTCAGCTTCTCTATAGTCAAGAGCAAGTCTGAGGGTCTCTTCTGACATCCGTTGTGTTTGTCTTTCTTTCCTGCCTTTTTAATACATTTGCTCTCTTCGTGCATGATGCTCTTGGATGTTACTCCTTTGGTCCTTGATAAATGTAGTGCAGCAAATCTGTTGTTGAGGTCTCTAAATTCCGGTGGGATATACCCAGGGTCATATTTTGACTCGTGGATTTGTTTTAATTTTCTTTACCTTCACCTTAGACTTGTATGAACAATTCGTGGTCTGTTGCACAGTCAGCCCCTGACATTGTTTTCCACAGTCAGCCTCTGACCTTGCTTTGGCCAAAGATACCGAATTTCTCTATCACCTGTTTGCCTGGACACAGTTGATTGGATTCCAGTCTATTCCATCTTATAAGGTCTATGTATATAGTCATCATTTATGTCGTTTAAAAAAAAGTTTGCAATCAGTAAGTCTGTAGTCTTACAAAATTACATTGTGTCTCCAGCATTGATTCTTTCACTAAGCCCATATTTTCTAGCTACTTATCCTTCCCCTTGGTCTCCAACTTTCACTTTCCAATCAATTTGAGGCTGCAAAAATTGGTATAGTTCTTTAATCTTCATTATTGGCCTTAGTAGTTGGTACATAAATTTTGGTAATATTATTGTTTCTTTTTTATAAGTGGTGTTTTGTGCTGTTATCCTATTATCACAAATAGCTTGGTGTTTCGAGATAACATCTTGAAATGTTCGTTTTGATGATGAATGTGACACCATTTCTCGTTAATGTGTCAGTCCTGGCACAGTAAACCATATGACTGGCTGACTCGAAATGGCCAAGATTCATGCTTAGGGTATTGATCGTTGTGCATTCCACTTCATTTTCATGACTTCCAGTTTTCCTAGAGCCATACTTTGTACACTCCCCATTCTAGTTATTAATGGATGCTTATAACTGTTTTCTCATTTTGAGTCATGCCCCATCAGCAAATGAAGTTACAAAGCTTTACTCTGTCCACATCATTAAGGTCAAGTTTATTATGAGGAGGCAGCTCAACTCCAGTCATATCTTGAGTGCCTTATAACCACAGGTGCGCATCTTCTGCCACTTTATCAGACTCAGTTCTGCTGCTAGCCATACGGTTTCCTGTAGCTAATTTTTCAGAAGTGGTCTGCCTGTACCTTCTTCCTAGTCTTAGTCTGGACGCTCTGCTGAAACCTGTCCCCCATGAGTGGTGGTATTTGAAATACTGGTAGCACGACTTCCAGCATCACAGTAATGTATATACAAGACTCCACAGTATGACAAACTAACAGATGCATGGTGGAGTGAACAGCTAGGATAGGGGATCCAATCAAACATGTAGAATTCTGGACGTTTCACCCAGTTCTTTACATTTTCCTTTTCAGTTTTCTTGAAATGAGCAGCAATGGATGAGAAGATTTTATCCCTAGCAGCAGAAAAAACACCAGACAAACTGCAGGAGTTTCTCCAAAACCTGAAAAAAGATGATGTGAGTATTGGGACAGCACTCTGCTAAAAGCAAATGTCCAGCCCTCTTGCATACCTGCTTGGCTGGCTGACGTCACTCCTTGGATATCCAGAACTGTGGTTCTTGGTCTCATGCCAAACAATCAGAAATGGGGGCTGAAACCCAGGCATCAGTTTCACAAGTCCTCTGGGTGATTTGAGGGTTGTATAATCCCAAGTTTCCCCATATTCCTGGTGATGGTCCCCCCACCCCACTCTCCACCCAGTTAGTTGCATAAGCCAAACGTTTTAGGAGGATTTGTTCATTTCCTTTATCACTACGTCCCTTCTCTTCCAACCCAATAGGAAATCCTATTGATTGCATTTCTCAACTGAGCCTTGACTCAACCTTCATTTCTCTCCTCTCACTCTGGTGACATTGAATCTGTCACTTAATAGGTGTCCCTTTTTCCATCTGTAACCCCTACACCCATTCTATAACAAAAGCTAGGGTGACTTTAAAAAAATGTATCTTACTGTATTGCTCCACAGATTATTAAGTGACATTGTTATATTCCCTCCCCCCCCTTTTTAGTGGGCTACTGTATGTTACTTTTTTTTTAATAAGTCACTTTATTGGGGACTTTTTTCTTTTTTCAAGACAAAATTTCATTTATTTGTCATTAGAAATAAATATTTCACAGTATATGATTACATATTGTTTTTGTGATTAATCACTGTGCTTTAATTATGTTCAATTTGTCACAATGAAAATGCATCCTGCATATCAGATATTTACATGACGATTCATCAAGGTAGCAATACTACAGTTATGAAGTAGCAATGAAAATAATTTTATGGTTGGGGGTCACCACCACATGAGGAACTATATGGAAGGGTCGCGGCATTAGCAAGGTTGAGAATCACTGCTTCAAAGAGACCCGGGTCTGTTTTGTCCCCTCACATTCCTCCTCACCAGCTTCCTCAGCAAGTGAGGGCGGGGGTGGAAGAGAACCCACCAGCCTGATCTAGAGGTTAGGATACCTGAGGTCGAGTCATTCCAAATCTCTTTTTAACAAAAAATATTTATTGGGGGCTC